GCATTCCTGTGGATGATGTCTGTTGGAACAGTTTTCTTCGCCGCTGTTTGGCCACAAATCGCCAATAGTGAGCAAAACAATGATCGGTACAATGGATTATCACCAAAGGTTTTCACACTGAAGTTTTCATCTATCACTTTTGAAGTTGTTTTCATTTCACAAACAGATGAAACTCTATTGCTAATACAAAATTGTTGAAATAATATGTATAAGAATGATAAACCACCTATTGCAGTAAAGCATATTTTCAGGAGTTGTTCCTAACTGGGGTATTGTTGCTATTTAGAAGAAGTAATAGGCACTCTAAATTGTTTCTTACGTCTCAGCTATACCTGGTTATCTCAAGGCAATTGCTTAACTGTCCAATTGTCTTGCTATATACTATCTTTTTTCCTTCATACATGTTTTTTGCAGGGATCTACAAATGCTGAAGCTACCAAAGATGATGGTGACGAGGATACTCTTGATATCAGTGCAAAGGGTGCTATTATGTTTGTGATATCAGCATCAACTTTCCTGGTTTTGCTCTTCTTCTTCATGTCGTCATGGTTTATAGTGCTGCTGACAATATTTTTCTGCATTGGTGGTGTACAGGTATGCTCTGTTCCTAGAAATGTAGCTATTGACATATATTAAGTTTTGGCAAACGTGCATTTAACTCCAGTGTTGTAATCACCGATATTAACATAGCTGTTTTCCAGGGAATGTATAATATTATCACGGCACTCATAACAAGGTATGGATGGAAACTCAAATCCGTTTTCCATCAAGAGCGTTATATGCAAATAAATGTTTTTTTTCCTTTAATTTATGATTTATTACTGAGCAGGAAATGCAGAAATTGTGGCCAGAAAACCATGAAACTCCCTCTAGTTGGGGATGTTTCATTTTTCTCAGTTGCAGTCCTATTGTTCTGCCTTTTATTTGCTATCATCTGGTTTCTGAAGCGACGAGCATCATATGCATGGGTTGGCCAAGATATTCTTGTAAGTCTAGTATGGGCATAGTAAAGTTTGTCCTGAGGCCAGTTTATCTTTCTGACTTTTTTTTTTTTTGGTTTTTTCCACTACTTTCATGCTTGAATGAGACACTCTATTTTGTTTGATACACATTCAAATTCAACTCAACATCATTACATTTCATTCTCTTTTAGATGTTTATCCATATATCGTTACTTTTTGGCAAGTTTTTTGGCAGTACTTTTGGCAAGTTCCTTAGTCATTATATATAAATATTCATCTTAAATTTTTACCTGTTGCAATATTTGTAGCTCAGTGAAAATATGAGTTGTGAATAGTATGGTGACAGTTTTATGGTTCATATTCAGTATTTGGCAGCAGCTTTTATTGGTAAATGAAATAAATTTAATGTTCTTACGTACAAATTTAAGGTCATTATGGCATCATACGCCCTAAAAATTTTCCAATTGGCATGCCTATGAATTATTCATCGGATTGCTGGAATGGCTTCCCAAATATATTTTAGAGGGTCTTGCCTGTTCTCATGCTATTACCCTTATGAAGATAGCTAGCATGCTTTTCAGTTATATTTTTATTAGTCGTCTTTCTAAATTTGAACTTGTTCTGTGGCAGGGTATTTGCATGATGATATCAGTCTTGCAAGTAGCTCGATTACCTAATATCAGGGTAATTTTTACTTGTGAATTTGTTAATGGTATCTGTCGATACTTCCTTTGCATTCTCTAATGTTGTCTCACAATTAAAGGTTGCTACCGTCCTTCTTTGCTGTGCATTCGTCTATGACATCTTCTGGGTCTTCCTATCACCGCTAATCTTTCATCAAAGTGTTATGATTGCGGTGAGTTTCACGTACTACCTTCACAACATTTGGCTGCTAACCAGAGTTCGCTCTGTTATCATTATATCCAATTACTTTGTTGCAAGGAGGGAATCCATCTTCCTCCAATCCATATGAACTAGTAAATCATAGTCCTGTCAATGTCTTTGCCATTCATTTTGTGCTCTTGAGTCTAAAACATTTAGTTTGATAATCTTTTAACTGTAAAAATGGCATTTTTCAGACGGAATCAATGGTTAGAACTTGTGTGGCATATAAGATTACAATATGTTGCTGAACACCCTAAGAGTGTCTGAATTGTGAACTTACATTTGTTGCATCACCAAAATGAAAGCCAATAGGCAACCTTCTTCCATGTGTCTGTCTCCTTGCCTACTCTTGCATGTAGTGAGAGCTTAATAAGGTTCATAGCTAAGCCTCAACTATGTACGAACCAAACATGGGAAGTCATTGATTCTCCTACTTGTGTTCATCTGTAACAGGTTGCACATGGGAGCGCCAGTACTGGAGAATCTATTCCCATGCTTTTGAGAATTCCTCGACTTTTTGACCCCTGGGGTGGTTACAACATGATTGGTTTCGGAGACATTCTTTTCCCGGGTTTGCTTATATGTTTTACTTTCAGGTATCTCCTTTGTGCGCTTTCGGACCGTTTCACAGTTAGACTTAAGTCTGTGGCAATTCACCGTTTTAAATGCAATTCATAGTTGCTCAAACAATCTAATCTCTTTGCTTTCAAAGTTTCAAAATATAAGTAGCATTTGTGAACAATGGGGTTTCATTTGTCTTACTGATTCAATATGCGCCTTCTCATATCGTTCTCATCCTTTCTGTAATCATCTTGGATCTACTGCTTCAGATATGACAAGGAGAATAACAAGGGCATTTTAAAGGGATATTTCCCTTGGCTGATGTTTGGCTACGGACTTGGTGAGTCATGCTTGCGCAATATTCCCACTATTATCTGTTCCTCTACTCAGTATATTCAGCGACTTTCTCGGATGCTTTCATTGTTTAGATTTTACCTCTATTTGTATATAAGCAGAGACATTGAATTCCACAGTTTTCCAATGAAATTGTCGGACCGCATGAGGGTCCAAGTTATTACCCTCAACACAAAATTATCGATCATGATAGATAGAATCTGGCATCTAGCCTCTTGGAAGAGAGGAAACTAGACAATGATTGCAAATGATATTCCTGATTTTTAGGCTCTCTGCGACTCATTGATTGCTTCTTGAAACTGATTCTTGCAGGTCTTTTCTTGACATACCTGGGGTTGTATATTATGAACGGGCATGGTCAACCTGCATTACTCTACCTTGTTCCTTGTACTCTAGGTAATTCTCCAGTCCTGTTCCTATATATATATATTTTTTCACCACATTCATCCCCAAAGCTGTGAAAATTGCCTCAACAATTCAATACTCCAATATTGAATCTTATTTTAGTGGTAACCCAGAATCGGTCTTCCTTGGTTCAGACACATCGACTGTGAGATTCATGCACTTCTATTTGTTCATATCGACACAAGATTTAGAACCATAACACCAAATAGGTGTGCAAACAAGCATGTGGGTCATTTGATTGGCGTAGCTCTGTAAGTAGGAGACTATATAGGCAGAAATAACTTAAGACTAGAGGCTAAAACCCGACTCGAAAAGTCATCTGTCAATAGATGCACATTTTCCTTAGAGACATGAATTGGTGGAATATGTACTCTGGCAGGAGTTGCGGTGATACTGGGACTGTTGAGGAGAGAACTGAGCGACCTCTGGAACTATGGAACACAATCGCCTTCAGCTGTGAATCCAACCCCATATGCATGAAAAGCTTCTACAACACTATTTTAAAAAGCATACATTTTTATGCAAGGGATTATTACTCCATGTGCATATTCATGTAGCCGAAACCCAAGCCTTTTCACAGTATGTATATTCAACATCTTCTGAACCTAAATCCTAAATCCAAGAGGCATTTATTATTGGTATAATTGTGTTTGCTTCTGCACTGCACTCCACAGTATTGCCAATGATAAGTGGTTTGGGATTTGCTGTTCATCTCTTCTCTCTCTCTCTCTCTCTCTCTCTCTAAAGACATATTGAAGAAATAAAACTCACCGAGCTACTGGAATGAGTGTCTTCAATGCTTTAACGGGAAGCCAATGATGTTCACTTCCATTTCCATGACGATCTACAAATCACAGTCAACTAATATAGTAAACGAGAGAACCAACTCAAACAATCACCCACCCATCAATCAAACTTGCGAACTACAACAAACTACACCATCAGGGACCAATCAACCGCAACAAGAAACTAAGAAATCAGACAAGAAAAAACAAAAAAACCTGATCGAGGCTCAGCTCGGCGGCCTTGCGTTCATGGGGATTAGGGCTGAGGGCGGCGGCTCGGGGAATCACAGCGAGACTAGGCAGATCCATTTCCAGTAAGTTCGGACACTCAGAAAAATATTCTGGATAAGGGAAGAGATGATCGGAGGCAATCAAGATCCATTCAGAATTTCGCGTCTAAAACCCTAGAAAGAACTCGATTGAGTCGGGAGACACAAATGAGCCAATCTAGGGCTTTAGTAACCCAGAGTATCTTAGCAACCAATAAATTATTAGTCCATAAAACCAAAAAAGGAGTATCTTATGCATAGAGGATAAATTCCACGCTTGTACTCTATAATTCATTCTTCTTTTGATCAATGTTGTTTTTTCATCCTTTTTTCTTCCATCTCCCTGCTTTACATATATAGTTCATCTTATTTTGAAACATCATTCTCACATATATATATATATATATATATATATATATATATAACTCGATTTCCACACATGAGAACAAATGGCCACACAGAGGAGAAGGTGACTCAGGAGGAAGAAGAGGAAGGAGCAGGAGAAGGGTTGAAGGCTTTTTGCTCGGCGCAGGTGAGTTCTTCATGCCGCCCGGCCTTTTCTCGTCCCACCCCCAAATCGTCCAGGAAGTGCTGGTAGTGTGATATTATGGTGTTCATCCCCTCTATGTCTCCTTGTCCACATACCAGATCTCCGTACAGGATGTTCATGGTGGTCCCGAAGGTCGGTCCACGTTTGGACAGAGTGTCGTTCTTTGTCGGTTTCCAGTTCCCAACGAATATGTCGTGGGCCGAGGGCTGTGATTTCTTGATCGGTGTCATCCATCTCCATATTGCAGCTTGGAAGGCAAGTGTGGCATTCTGCTCGATGTATTCCGGGTGGTGTAGCAGATCCACTTTCAGGGCCTCTCCCGTTGCGCCGTAGTTGTAGTTCCTTTGAAAACAGAAACCGAGAATTCTCAGAACCTCGATTCAAGAAAAACGTGAACCGATGGAAACCATAATACTCCTACAGATTTCCATCTTAGTGACGACATTTGCTAAATGCGAGAAGATATATGTGCTATGAGAAATGTGAGGAAATATCCTCCATGTATGATACTTTGGTTTTCATATAAACCCTTCAAATGCATATAATGCCATTGCCAGAGAACCCAATAGAAGAGAAAAGCATGGCATACCAGTAGATGGGCAAGGCACCACGGCCGTAGTATTCAGCTCCTGGGGCGCAGGGATATGTGTATTTCCAAGACTCGTCACAGTAAGACTGGCTTGGGCTCATTTCCCTGTTATAGCAGAGACCCCAAGCTGTCGGTCCTCCTGTTGCAACCCCGAAACCACCTACGACATCAAATGGAAAATATGAGATTAACCTAATAATAGATCTATATCTTACCCCAGCTTCCGCAATCAAACTGGAGCAGGAACATTGATATATGATTTATAAGTGGTTGATTCAATTAGCCACTGTCCTCATTCGGTTGAGGGCATTCACAAAGCTAAGATCAGATTTTAGAAGAAAACCAACATGAGGTCTTGCTGGCAACATGGCCAAGAAATGCCGCAATCTCCTTCTGTCCCATTAGATATCCTCCCGTAGTCCCGAACCCGAGGGGCTCATATATCGCAGCAGCGGTGATGAAGGACCGGTAGTCCCAGAAACCAACAGCATGAGCTGCAGGAGAGTTTCTTTTAGAGAAGAGCTGCTCGAACTGGGTAACCTGGAAATAATCTGATATCGTCTCATTACAGCAGTAGATCGACCAGTAACTGCACTCCCAGCCCTGCATGCACATCTTCTTCCCCTTCACCTTCTTCACCTGAATCGTCTTCTCGTCCCCATTTGCTACCAAAGCCAAACATGATACAACCAACAATGCCAGGATAACAATAGCATGACTCCGGAGCCTCTCCATAGCTTATGACTATGGAACAAAATATCCACTACAAACTGCAAAAATGAACAGAACGATGAGCTCGTTTTTTTTTTTAATTCCTCTGAAGAATAAAAGATCATTGACGGCCAGGAACTGAAACCCAAAAGTTCACTTAACGATGAAAAGATCATTCCTTAAAACATACTATCAACACATAAAATTCATCATTTTAGGAGGACGCATCAAATCATCCACCAGTGGCAAAAGTAAACAAGCGATAGAAATCTGACAAAAGAAATCTACGATTAATCAGTTCAACTAAACCAATGAGCTTCATTTCGACACACTAGTCATTTCCGCAGCTGAAAATCTCCAAGCCAATCTTAAAAAGAATGAGATCAACAAAAATAACAAAGTAGAATGAGTTACTACTACAGACGATACCAAGAACAAGGAACTAGTTCTGATTCAGATAGGAAACGCTAAAAGAAAGAACAAAAACGCACTTCGCCCACCGCCTAAATTTGTAGACAAATCGAAATTACACCAAAGCGGAGACACAGTACAAGATCAGAGAGGGCAAATTCAGTGCAGCTGTACGACCGACCAGTTAGATAGTAGAATCTATGGAGATTTACAAAATGCGAATTCAAATCAGAGACTTCCAGATGAATCACCAGCGAGGCAGAATTCTCGAATCGAGATTCTAGGGAAACACAAACTATAAGTTCCTCACTGGTAAAACCACACAATGACCATAGCAATGGAAACGAGAATCCAGAGAACAGCGCTTACCAGCAATGAACTCAACAAATGCCAACTAAATCTGGAGAGATCGAGAGCCTTGTTCGACTCCAACGGTACTAAACCCTTGTTTGGTTGCCGAGAAAATGAGAGGTTTTTTTTTTTGGGGGGGG